CTTGGCAACAGTTTTTAGGGGGATTAGTCAAAGGTTCTCAAAGTGTGATTCTTGGCCCTGCAGCTTCCACATCACCTACGAACTTGTTAGAAATGAAAATTCTCAAGCCCACCCCCAGATCTCCTGAATCCCAGCCTCTGGGGGTGGGCCAGGCACTCCGGCTGATTCTGACCCCAGAACCGAGGATCTGGGCTCAAGATGAGAGAGCACCCTCCAGCCTGTGTGAAACGCTGAGTACTGATCTTCCCAGGAAATAAGGTAAGTTGGAAATCAGCTAAGTAGGGTCAGTCTTTCTGTAGAAACAGTACATATTAAATATTTTTATGCATTTAGGAATTGGCTACTAGTTCAGCCTTATTACGTCATTTTAAGCTGAACTATTCAGACCCTTGTGACTGATGAATTTTAGTGCTGCTACAAGAACTTCCGAGTCCTAATTCTTGCTCTGGAGGCGTTTTCTCCACAGAACCACCTGTCACCCATTCTAGGGGCTATTTTTTTTTTCATGTAAGGATTAAAAGGGGACACTTCTACCTTATTTGGCTCATACTGGCATCAGACCTTTTTTTTGTGTGTGTGTGAGGAAGATCAGCCCTGAGCTAACATCCATGCCAATCCTCCTCTTTTTGCTGAGGAAGACCGGCCCTGAGCTAACATCTATTGCCAATCCTCCTCTTTTTTTTCTTCCTTTTTTCTCCCCAAAGCCCCAGTAGATAGTTGTATGTCATGGTTGCACATCCTGCTAGTTGCTGTATGTGGGACGCCACCTTAGCATGGCCCAACAAGCAGTGTGTCGGTGAGTGCCCGGGATCCGAAGCCGGGCCGCCAGTAGTGGACCGTGCACACTTAACCACTAAGCCACGGGGCTGGCCCCTCAGACTTTTTAAAAAACATCTGATGGAGAGGAAAAGTAACTTAATGGCCTTCTGTTGGAAGACTTATCTCAGATTTTACCTAAATTGGACTTTTTAAATTGTGGTCATAAAATAGTTTATACCATTGTGAAATTTAAGTTGTACATTATTATTTGTCAGTCACCATATATAAGTGCCCCTTTACCCCTTATGCCCACCCCCAATCCCCTTCCCCTCTGGTAACCGCTAATCTGTTCTCTTTATCCATGTGTTTGTTTATCTTCCACATATGAGTGAAATCATACAGTGTTTGTCTTCCTCTGTCTGGCTTATTTTGCTTAACATCATACCCTCAAGTTCCATCCATGTTGTTGCAAATGGGACAACTGTGTCTTTTTTATGGCTGCGTAGTAGTCTACTGTGTGTGTGTGTGTGTGTGTGTGTGTGTGTGTGTGGTGTGTGTGGTGTGTGTATACACCACATCTTCTTTATCCATTCATCAGTCCAGGGACACGTGGGTTGCTGCTACATCTTGGCTATGGTGAATATGCTGCAGTGCACACAGGGGTGCATAAGTCTCTTTGGATTGTTGATTTCATGTTCTTTGGGTAAATACCCAGTAGTGGAATAGCTGGGTCATAAGGTATTTCAATTTTTAATTTTTTCAGAAATCTCCATACTGTTTTCCATAGAGGCTGCACCAGTTTGCATTCCCACCAGCAGTGTATAAGGGTTCCCTTTTCTCCACATCCTCTGCAACATTTATTGTTTTTGTCTTGGTGATTATAGCCATTCTAACAGGTATAAGGTGATATCTTAGTGTAGTTTTGATTTGCGTTTCCCTGATGATTAGTGATGTTGAACATCTTTTCATGTCCCTGTTGGCCACCTGTATATCTTCCTTGGAAAAATGTTCATATCCTCTCCCCAATTTTTGATTGGGTTATTTTTTGTTGTTGTTGAGTTGTTCTGAGTTCTTTATATATTTTGGAGATTAACCCCTTGTCAGGTATATGATTTGCAAATATTTTCTCCCAGTTGGTAGGCTGTCTCTTCGTTTTGTTCATGATTTCCTTTGCCTTGCAGAAGCTCTTTAGTCTGATGAAGTCCCATTTGTTTATTTTTTGTTTTCCTTGCCTGAGTAGACATGGAATTTGAAAAAATCCTTCTCAGACCAATGTCAAAGAGTGTACTGCCTATATTTTCTTCTAGGAGTTTTATGGTTTCACGTCTTACCTTCAAGTCTTTAATCCACTAAATTGGATTTTTTAACAATCAGCATTTTTCAGATACCTTTGCAACGTGCCATAAGACCCCACTCCCTGTCTGTGATCACTTTGTGCAAAACTGTAAGATACTAAATAACCTCACTGATTCACAGACAGAGTCTCTTTATCAGCCAGGGAGCTGGCTCCTCTAAGCAGCACTGCGTGCTTGGGGGTTGGCATATGGATTGCTAGGTCAGGGAGACCTGCGTCCCCCAGCCTGCTGGTAGCCAGGGGCGTCTACCTTGCACACAGCCAAGTTCCTGCATCTCTGACTCCATCACGTGAGTTAATTGAGAGCACGCATCCAGCTTTAGCAGCTAACCACCTGCCTCAGCGCCATCTCATCAGATGATGAGGTGAACAGCTTCCTCAACTCTGAACTGGAAAAGGGTTGCCTGTGGCTCAGGGTTGTTGAGAGGATTCAGTAAGGTGGTAAACCTCCTATTATATGCACCTGTTTCTTCCAGGAATTACTGGCACTCACTGCAATCACTGTAATGTGTAATTTATTGAATGAGTGGATCACGATGCTATGCGTTATACATTTAGTAATGTCAGAATGATAAAGTGTTAATGGCAATTTTGCAAACCAGGGTATATTTAGGAAGAGCTGTATAGCAGCATTCATGGACCTGAGACACATCTACCGTTCATCAAATACAACTATCATTTGGTTATTTGCTTGAGTTTGGGCCCATTTTCTCATCTGTAAAATGGGGGTAATACTACTGCCTCATGGAGAACTTGTGAGGGTTAAGTGAACAAACGTGGCACCTGACAGGCACGTGATCCAGGTAGGGGCATCCATCCGAGGGGGCTGACCTCTGCTCAACATCAGCATCTCTGTCATGTGGAACGCAACTGAAAAATATCACTAAAAGCAAACAAAAAGATTTTATTCTTTGATATATAAAACCAAGAAAACTTTAATGTGTAATACAATATAGTTTTTTTGTTTGTTTTTTTAAAGAAGACAATGGCAGAAGTGTGGACCTGGGTAGAAAAATGCTCTCAAGCAGCTTCTAAGCAGGTCAGCAACTCAAATTATGAACAACAGCACACAAATCTCGGTAGCCCTCTTTTTCTTTAAAAAAATTATTCACATTTGCTTAACAACTTAAAACATCGTAACAAACAGAGCTTTCCTTCTTGGTAACAGACCCAGTTTCTCAACAAGATGTTCACGACCCAGCAATAACTCAGTGAAAGAGCAGCTCCTTCCTGATGGTCACTAAGCAGCAGACATTTGTCGTGGTGAAAAGCACGTCTGGCTGCTGGGGCGCCAAGCAAGATGCTCGTGCAGTTCACTGGAGCCCATGAACCGGGGGGCGTCTGGACTCACCCTAGACCTCAGGGGGCATCTTTGGTCTCCCTGTGCTTGGGAACAAACAGACAATGAGAACACAGGCGCAGGAAACCACAACTACGCAATAAGGTATTTCTGCCCAATAAATAGTTTCCGTAAGAAAAATAATTTGCTTTTCACTTAATGAATTTAGGAAAAATAAGTTGAGATACAGTTTTCCATGTTATCAGCCTGACGTCCATGAAGTCCGGACAGTTCTGCCAAGACCAGCAGGGGGTGCTGGGGCACAGGAGACACAGCTCACGGTCCCCCAGAAGGCAGACTTGCCCATGTTCTCAGGAAAGCTTTACTGGGTCAAAGTTTAGTTCTCAAAGTACAAGTGTCACGTTTTCTCCTCGACACTGGATTCAAACAGAAAATACAATTCATATAAAATTTAATTGGATAAAACATGAATAAACCTTTAAAATTACTAAATATGTCAATATTGCTAAAAGATCAAAAGGAAGCAACAATGAATTTAATCTGTGATGAAAATCATTAAGTTCCATGTGACTTGTTATTTTAAAAACAAAGAGAACAGAACCTATACATCCAGATGACCGTCTGGAGGTACGTGGCACGCTTAGCCACCAAGTCTGCTGGAAACATTTCTAAAACTGCCCTCAGAGTCACTCAGTCCGCAGGAAAAGACTCGCTCTGTCTCAGAGGAGGCACCGGCTTTTGATCACAAACAGCAGTGCTGAGCGTTCCCTGCCAATCCCGCAGGGCCGGCTGCTTCCCACGTCACTCTCCCTCCGAGGCTGGAGACAGGCCCTCTGCCCCTGACGGCCATTCCATGGGAGGCGAGTGCTCTCCTCCCAGCGCTGGGGCTCAGCACCCATCTGGCTATTTGAAATATGACTATGAACAATGTGAAAATGTGAAATTCATCTTCTAGTCATACCTATTACAGGTTTGGGTGCATTTGTTCTTAAAAACTGGCCTCTGCCTTCCTGCCACCTTACTTCCTCACCGCATTCCAGCCCATTTGTAGAATCAGCACCGTTGGCAGGAAGCACAGTGAAAACGTTGTGCTGACACCACAGGGCGTTTCTGCGTGGGTTAGGTTAAAAACATGAATTTGACTATTTTAATAAGGTAATTTTAAAGTCTCAATTTAAGAAATGAAGTATTTTTAAAATTTAAAAACGAAGTATTTTCTGCACTTGGTCAGATCCTTTCTACCACTTTACAATGGTGCTGGGACCTGCCACCGGCCTAGGACAGACTGTGGCTGTGCACGTTTGTGTGCACGTGTGTGTGTGTGTGCACATGTATTCTGTGGAGAAATTCTACAAAAATAGACAGTATTTTTCGTTGCTGTCGGTAAGGTGAAATAAAGAGTGGGGTTGTGGGAGAAAAGGGAGGGATAAATAAAAATAATAAAAAAGGAGGGGTGAAGTACACAATTATTTTTCTTATTTTAAAATTGGAATAAAACTTTAAAAAGTATTTCCCCTCAGGAAGTTGACCTGTCTAATCCCTGCGCACCTAGCTGTGGTCACAACTCCCGCAGCTGTGTCCAGTCCACAAGGCTGCCCAGTACCAGCCTGGCCCTACAAGGTGACCGCCGGCCCGTGCTCTTCCACCCCTCCTGGGGGCAAGGCCAGGCTGTGGCGGGGGTCGGACCTGAGAGAGCTGAGCAGCCTGTGGACACTGCCGCCGCCTTCCCGCCCAGGGCTGTGCAGTCTGGGTGTCAGGCCGGCACCGTTGACCCGCGCAAGGCTTCCCGGGGGCGGCCTGGGGACCAGCCGGGGCTCCAGGACGCCCTCGAGGACGACGTCGGCCTCCTCGTCACTCTCCATCTCGTCAGGGTGCAAGTTCTGCAGGATGTGGGTTGTCGGCAGGCTGTGGCGACTGGCCACGCTGTCCGAGGACCGGCCGGAGCTGCCAGATGCACGGCTGCCACGGACCACGTTGTTCCTCTGGTTGGCCGGCTTGACTGTCACGATGAGGTTGTGGCTGTTGGCGATCATCATGTCCGTGACCTGGTCCAGCGTCTTCCCAGCCACCTCGATCCCATTCACCTCCAGGACCTCGTCGTCCACGGCCAGCAGCCCCGTGCTCTCTGCGAGGCCGCCGGGCACCATGCGAGAGATGAAGATGCCCGGCACCTTCTCCAGCCCCTGGGGGGCCACACGCACACTCATGCCATCACGGATGTAGAAGCCCAGTGGCTTCTGGCAGCCGTGCCTATACAGCCTCACACGGCGGTGCGTCTCAGGGAGGATGTCCACGTCAATGATGGAGGACACGGGGCGGAAGTCGTGGGGCATGCCGATGTGCAGGTGCGCACGCCGGCGCGGCCCATCCTCCCGGAGCGCCAGGGCCTTCCTCCTCCTGGACAGCGAGCCCGCCCCGAAGCTGCAGTGCTCGGCCTCTTCTGAAACAGCCCAGAGGGGACAGTCAGAGCACAGACACACCAGGCAACGGGCAAGCACAAGGCAAACATCATCGCAACCTGGACCCTGAGGCTGGCCATCTGGGCCAGTTCTGGCTTTCTGCCGCTTACTTCTCAACTGCTTCTCTGCTTTGCAATATGACCCCAGCATAAGCCTGAGGCAACGAGCTCCACAGTCAAATCGTGTGTTTCAATTAATTCCTTATAAGTCTCACACCCATGCCTAGGAGTTGCATTACCAATTCCTTTTGTCACAGTTCACTTTTTTGGAGAGTCTCAAATAGTCTCCAGGATGATATGCAAACACTGGAGTAACTTTATGAGCTGTTTCACCGAGCCCACAGCGATCCTGGCATCAGCTGAGCTGGCCCAACAGTATTCACTAGGCAAATGTTCGAGGCTAAGTTCAGGCGCAATCACCTCCCTAAAATTATGTCTGGAAACCTCCAAACAGACCCACAGGCAACCACCAGAATGACTGACAGATGAAGAGGCAGGAATGAGAGGCTGGACAGCTCAACAGTGGTGACTGGATTCTGGGAAGACAGCAGAGCAGGAAGCACCAGGAACCTCCCCACCTGGACGAGAGCTGCAGGGGCGAAATCCGTCTGATGGAACTACTGGAACTCTGGGGCCTGTTGAAGGTCTGCAACTTCCAGAGAAGAACTGGACAGTAACTGTGGTCAGTTTCAGCTCTCAGCACAGCAGCAGCTCCTCGTCCCTGCCCCAGCCCCCTGGCAGGCAGCTGTGCATGTGTTCCTGGGGCAGCCTGCACACAGCGTGTGGCAGCCAGGGTGGGCAACAAGGACTCTGTCCTCAAATATCAGGGATCTGTCTTAAAAATGCTCAAAAAACTAAAGGAAGATGTGGCGAAAGTCAAGAAAATGATGTATGAACAAAATGGAAATATCAATAAAGAGATAAAAAAACCTAAAAGGAAACCAAATAGGAATTCTGGAGCTGAGGAGTACAGTAACTGAAATGGAAAATTCCCTAGGGGGAGATTAAGCAGAAGAAGCAATCAGTGAACCTGAAGACAGGACAATGGAAATTCTCATGTCTGAGGAACAGGAAGAAAAAAGACTGAAGAAAAATGAACAGAGCCTAAGGGACCTGGGGACACCATTAAGCAAACCAACTGTGCATTGTCAGAGTCCTAGAAGGAGAAGAGAAAGGGGAGGAGGGACTATTTGAAGAAATAATGCCCGAAAACTCCCCCAAATTGATGAAACGCACGAATATAAACATCCAAGAAGCTCAATAAACTCTAAGTACGATGAACTCAAGAGACCCATACCAAGACACTATAATCAAACTTTTCAAATACAAAGACAGACAATCTTGAAAGCAGCAAGAAAGAAGTGAGTTATTGTACAGGAGGGACCCTCCATGAGATCGTCAGCACATTTCTCATCAGAAACTCTGAAGGCCAGGAGGCAGTGGGCTGATATATTCAAAGTGCTAAAAGAAAAAACTATCAACCAAGAATCCTATAATGGCAAAACTGTGTTTCAAAAATGAGGGAGAAATTAAGACATTCCCAAATAAATAAAAGCTCAGAGGGGCCGGCCCCATGGCCTAGTGGTTAATTTTGGCGCGCTATGCTTCGGTGGCCTGGGTTCAGATCCCAAGTGTGGACCTTTACCACTCATCGGCGGCTATGCTGTGGTGGCAATCCACATACAAAATAGAGGAAGATTGGCCAGATGTTAGCTCAGGGAAAATCTTCCTCAGCAAAAACAAACAAACAAAAAAAACTGAGAGACTTTGTTATCCCTAGACCTGCCCTGCAAGAAATGGTCCACAGCGTCCTCCAGGTGAAATGAAAAGACACTTGACAGTAACTCGAAGTGACTGGAGAAATAGAGATCTGAATCGAGGTACATACGTGGGCGATTATAAAAGCTAGGATAATTGTAACAATGGTTTGTAACTGCACTTTTTATTTCTACATAACTTGAGATAATTTTTATTTCTACATATTATGTTTAAAGGAAAATTTAAAGGAATAAATTATTAGTCTAAGAGCTAGTATTATTGTAACTTTGGTTTATAACTTCAAATATTGTTTTCTATATAACTTAAAAGACTAACGCACTTACAAGAATTATTAGTTTATGTTTTTGGGTACAAAATGTATAAAGATGTAATTTTGTGACACCAACAACTGAAAAGGGTAGGAGGAGCTGTAGAAGAGCAGAGTTTCTGTACGTCATTGAAGTTAAGCTGATAGAAATTCAAATTACAGTGTCATAATGTTAGGATGTTAAATGTAATCCCCATGGTAACCACAAAGAAAACAACTATAGCATATACACAAAAGGAAATGATAAAAGAAGTTAAACATTTCACTACAAAAAATCAAGTAAACACAAAAGAAGACAGGAATGCAAGAAATGAGGGACAAAAAGCTTTATGACATATGGAAAACACATAGCACAAGGACAAAAGTAAGTCCCTCGTGTCAGTAATTACTTTAAATGTGAATGGATTAAACTCTCCAATCAACAGAGATGGGCAGAATGGATAAAAATACAAGATCCAAGGGGCCAGCCCCGTGGCCCAAGCGGTTAAGTGCGCGCGCTCTGCTGCGGCGGCCCGAGGTTCGCCGGTTCGGATCCCAGGCATGCACCGACGCACCGCTTGTCAAGCCATGCTATGGCAGCTTCCCATATAAAGTGAAGGAAGATGGGGGCACGGATGTTAGCTCAGGGCCAATCTTCCTTAGCAAAAAGAGGAGGATTGGCAGATGTTAGCTCAGGGCTGATCTTCCTCACACACACACACACAAAAAAACAGGAGCCAACTATATGCTGTCTACACGAGACTCACTTGAGATCCAGACACAAACAGTTGAAAGTGAAAGTTGAAAGGATAAGAAAAGATATTCCATGCAAACGGTGACCAAAAGAAAGCAGGAGTGGCTATACTAATATCAGACAAAATACTTTAAATCAAAAAAGTTACACAAGACAAAGAAGGACATTATATAGTCATAAAAGGTTCAACAGAGCAAAAAGATAAAACAGGGATAAACATTTATGCACCTAATGACAGACCATCAAAATATATGAAGAAAAAACGGACAGAACTGAAGGGAGAAAGAGACAGTTCTACAATGGTACTTGGACGTTAATACTCAACTCACAAAAATGGACATAATGACCAGACAGAAGAGAAGTAAGAAAACTTAACACAATAAACCAACGAGATCTAACAGACATACACAGAACACTCCACCCAACAACAGCAGCACACACATTCTTCTCAAGTGCATGTGGGACATTTTCCAGGATAGACCACATGTTAGGCCAGAAATTAAGTCTCAATAGATTTAAACAGATAGATATCACGCAAAGTATCTTCTCTGACCACAACAGGATGAAGTTAGAAATCAATAACGTAAAGAAAACCAGAAAATTCACAAAAATGTGGAAACGAAAAAACACACTTTTAAACAACCAATGGATCAAAGAAGGAAACAGAAGGAAATTAGAAAATACTAAGAGACAAATGAAAATGAAAACACAACATACCAAAACTTATGGGAAGCAGCAAAAGCAGTGCTAAGGGGAAATTTATAGCTATAAA